GGTTTGGGCGGTCATTATAGACGTTTTAGCTTAAGTGCGCTAATCTCTTTATTCGGTAATAATTTCAGTGTAATAATCATTAATAAATCCATTAAATATTGGATATTTTGAAAATGTGTGAAAAAAATTTAGGTCAACGGAGCTGTAAATTGAAAACGATGAATAAATTCATTTGGGTTCATAAATATAAAATTCAATGAAAATACAATTATAATTAATAAGATGAAGCATTTTTTAAAAATTTATATTAATTAAAAATATTATTAAATTATACCTTTAAGTATTTTTTGTAATTTAATTTAGAAATTTAAATATAAAATAAATTTTCTGGGATATTGAATAAAAGTTTATACATACATAAATATATATATAATAGCAATGCTTATAAAGTATACTATTTTAATATATTTTTTTTCCAAATCACGTGGCTTGAAGTTTCATGTCGGCTTAAAATCTTACCAACAATTTAAATGCAATTGCTCTTAAATCTGGTCATAAACCCAAGCCTGCATGAGCCCTCCACCTTCGGCCGCCATGTCGTCCAAGCATCAGCCAATCTCCGGAAGAAGCCTGCCTCCCTCGAGTTCTAATCATCCCCAGCGCCGGCATGGGCCACCTCCTCCCATTCGTCCGACTAGCCACTGCCCTCTCCTCCCGCCGCATCGCCGTCTCCCTCATCGCCCCGCCCCACCATTTCCGCCGCCGAATCCGACCTCCTTTCCTCTCTTCCCCCCTCCATCCTCCTCGACTTCCCCCTCGCCCCTCTCAACACATCTCTCTTCCCAGCCTCCTCAGATCCCTTCTTGCTTCGCATGGAAGCCCTTCGCCTCTCCGCCCACCTCCTCCCTCCTCTCATCTCCTCCTCCGGGCCATTCTCGTCCCTTATCGTCGACATCTCCATCGCATCCACCTTCCTACCAGTTGCAGCCTCCATCAACATCCCCTGCTTCGTCCTCTTCACCTCCTCAGCTGCCATGCTCGCTTTCTGCTCTGTTTTCACATCCTCCTCTAACGCAGAGGACGACATCGACATCGCTGGCATCGTCAAGATCCCATCATCCTCCTTCCCTCAGCCCCTCCACGACCCAAACCATTTCTTTAAGACCCAATTCGTCGAAAATGGAAAGGCGCTTACTTTAGCAAGCGGAATCCTGGTTAATACATTTACAGCCTTGGAGCCCAACGTGCTTGTCGCGCTCAATTCAGGGGAAGTTGTCCCGCGCCTTCCGCCAGTCATTGCTGTTGGTCCTTTGCTTCCGGAAAGAAAGCAGTCAGTTTGGCAACCGTCGGCGATGCGGTGGCTCGATAAGCAGCCGGAGAGATCGGTTATTTACGTTTGTTTTGGGAGTCGAACGGCGATGACGAGAGAGCAAATCATGGAGTTGGGAGCTGGGCTGGAGATGAGCGGATGCCCGTTTTTTTGGGTGATGAAGAGCAAGATGGTGGATAGGGAAGAGATGGAGGAGATTGAGGAATTGTTGGGGGAAGGATATGTGAAGAGAGTGGAGGGGAGGGGACTGGTTTTGATGGAATGGGTGGAGCAAGAGGTTATTCTTGCTCACCGGTCAGTAGGCGTATTCTTGAGTCACTGCGGGTGGAATTCGATGATGGAAGCGGTGGCAGCGGGGGTGAGAGTGCTTGCTTGGCCGAGGGGAGGGGATCAGAGAGTGAATGCGGCAGTGGTGGCAGGCAGTGGGCTTGGTGTTTGGCCGGAGAAGTGGGTCTGGGAAGGGGAAGAAGGGGTGGTTGGAGCGAAAGAGATTGCAAAGAAGCTGTCAAAGCTTATAGTGGATGATAGGATGGGGGAGACGACGGCGAAGTTGGCTGCGGAAGCTGCTGCGGCTGAAGCGGCGGCGGCTGTGGCGGCTGAAGCGGCGGCGGCTGTTGTGGCGGAAAGAGGGAATTTGATAAATGGGTTAGTGCACTTGGACGACAAAGTTATTATGTGAAAATCTTCTTGCCATTGTTAGGAAAAAATATGATAACGTCTCTCTCTCTCTCTCTCTCTCTCTCTCTCTCCTTTGAGCCGAATAATTTTTCCATCCATAAATTACTAAGAAATTGATTATAGTTTAACTTGATGAGGTGCTTACTTAGTTTTAAAATTTTAGCCGATTTAGTATTTATTTGAATAACGTTCTGTTTATTTTGCCTTTCAGATCGTCATTGTAATTTTATTCGAAAAATCACTTTCTTGCTACTCATAAATATTTCTGTCGTAATTTTATTTGAAAAATTAATCATAAGAAAAACATATCAAAATACGTCAGGTCAGAATTTTCTTTACTCCATTTGATTCCAAATTGCACCATTTTTGCTTCATTTTCTCCAAAACTCATTTCTTGCACCTATAATAAAAAATACACAAAATGCATTTCATTAAAGAGTAATATCATTAAAAACAATCATAAAATGTATATAAAAAAGTATCACATTTTTAGGTTTGTCAATTCCACCAAACTTAAACGTTACTTGTCCTCAAGTAACACTATAACTTTAAAAACCAAATTTGTTGATTTGAGGTTGAGGGTTTTAGTAGAGTTTCCTATAAGTTTGTCTCTGAAATGTTATAGTGTAACTTAGGAAAAATTCTAGCAAATCAACCTAGTATTAGGGTATAAGAATTTCTCTTATTAAACTTAGGAATCCTAATTTTCTATTTATTGAAACATGTCAAACTAAAAATTCCTAGAAAATTTAAAAGCAGAAATTAAGCACCCAATCTATACAATTTTGAACAATAAATTTTTTTCAAAATAAGAATAAGCTTAGGATTGTTTCTGTGTCTTTTTTCCTTAAAAAGATTCAAGTGAAGTCAATTTTTTATTAGGCTTCTCCTTAAGATTCTCCTTACATTCTTCCTCATGAGATCTGAGTAGTTTCTTTTACTTTCTCTTTTTATTTTCTTTTCATCTTTTTCCGTTAGGATCTTTAATCCATATTTTTTTTTAAAGTGAGAATTATTATATCTGGATAAACCTTTAACAATTTTGAATATCTCTGTCATCTTTCTAAGGTCAAAAACTCAAAAATTTCCCCTACTTCTTAAAAGTGTAAGTATTAGTTTGAAGAAAGTTTTAATAAATGCTCAATTCTCATAAAGTATAAATTTAAGAGTCTTTGCTTTTCAAATATTGAACTCCTTTCCACCATAAATAGCAAAATCATTTTCCTAATGCTTCCTAAAAAATATCTTAACTCTGGAATAGTTTCTTCACATAGGGTGCTAATTAAGTTTTTTTTAACATTCCTAAAATCAAAATTATAGTAACCTAAAGTAACACCACATACCACAAAACATTTTAAAACTTATATCAAATTAAATATAAGCTACTGAGGACAAATAAAGTTAAGTTTTAAAATTTTTTTAACCCCCCCCCTCCTAAATATGATTTTTAACATGTATAACATTCAATACAGAAAATATAAACGGGAAGAAAAATAGTTCAAAAATTCTATCTATCACAAATGTTTATCAAAAAAATCTACAAATATTCATGAGGACAGG